TATAGCTCAATGGCACAAGTGCCTGCCTGGCAAGCACAAGGTCCTGAGTTCAATTCCCAGTACCTAAAAAAAAAAATCCCCTCCTAAAGGTAATAAGGAAAATAAGAAACTGGGCCTCCTTGTCTCCTTTCTCTCTATTTTGTCTAGCCTAACTCAACTGCAATTCATCCTCCAACTGCTCCACCTTTTTCACTACTCCAGCTGGGCCTCAGTAGGCCGACTGCCTAAAGCAAAGGCCAGCTGACCCCTCCCATCTCCTGCCCCTCACTTCCTGTTAAGCACATGGGATTCTTTCAATTTCAAACACTCCATCAGACTAGCCAAAGCTGCTGTGCTTGGGGTACACCCCTGTACTCCAAGACCACTGTGTGAACACCAAGCAGGTAGGCCACAGCACTCCATACGGAGCACGCAGCCACCCTGGTCTCTCCCCAGGTAGCTCCCACTTTCCAGGCCAAACCCATTACTTTAGAATCTTGCCAGGCACATCAGCTGTGTTCAGCAAGACGCTCAGCTGGAGCTGCCCCAGGAGCAATGACGGGGATGCTGCTCCCAATCATCCCAAGATAGGGCTAGATGAGGTTACAAGGAAGACTGAACACCAAGGTGAACAGCACTGAACACTTCAGTCCAAGGCTTTCATTAGAGGAACTTAAATGCCAAGTGTGCAGTGGGAAACGTTAAAAAAAAGATGTTCTGTGCAGGTAGGCAGGTAGGCCCGCATGAAAGGTCTGGGTTGTGGAATGCATGTGAGGGTTTCAGGAATCTGGCTCAGGGCTAAGGCTAATTCATACATGTTTAGCAACAAGTTGTTCTTTCAGTGTTTAAAACACAATCTCAAAAACCTAGGAGTGTTCAAGCCCCAGCTTGGGTTCAAACCTGCAGAAGGAAATACACAGCTGGTTGCGTCCAAAGAGCAGAAGACAATCTGACTCTCAGGCCAGAGAAAGAGAAAAACCAGCAGCCAGGGCAGAGAGGAGACTATAGCTCTGTTACAGATGTGCAGCTTGCAAAGGGACTGCTGAATCACACTGAAGGTTTAGGTTTTTTTGAGGAAACTTTGAACTGTTTTTCCAAAATGGCTGCACTCATTTAAATACCACCAAGTGTGCCAGCGTTCCTTTTCTCTGTCCTCACCAGCAGCATTCATCTTTTGTCCTTTTATTATTAACGAGTCTAATAGGTGCAAGGTAGTGTTTCAGTGATTTTCATGTGCATTTCCTTGATCATTAAGTGATGTTGAGCATGTTTTCCTATTCCTTTGGCTGTTTAAACATATTCTTTTGGGCCAGAGATATAGTTCAGTGGCACAAGCTACTGCCTGGCAAGCACAAGGTCCTGAGTTCGATTCCTAGTACAAAAAGAAAAAATAAATGCATTATTTTGAGAAATGTCTACTCAGGTACTTGTTGACATATGAATATACTATTTTACAAGTTCCAAAATCATACTTTCCTATAGTGATAGTAAAACTTTTCAACGTGGCACAGATATGTTTATTTGCCAACAAAAATATCCACAGTTCCTCTGCAATAAGAAGCAGAAAATAAAATATTTTTAAACATCTTCAGCCAGACATAGTGGTGCACACCTGTAATCCCAGGACTCAGGAAGCTGAGGTAGGAGGATCCCTGCGAGCTAAAGGCCGGGCTACTTACTGAGTTCAAGGCCAGCCTGAACTACACAATGAGAGAGAGAGAGAGAGAGAGAGAGGGAGAGAGGATGGAAGAAAGGAAGAAAGGAAGAAAGGAAGGAAGGAAGGAAGGAAGGAAGGAAGGAAGCAAGCAAAGGGAAAAGTTCAGTACATAATGTTTCAGTATTTTAGTGATTGAGATATTCATTGAATATCCATCTTCATGTTATTTAGTGTAACTTTAAACATATGTTACCAAAAAGTTTTGGGAAACTTTTTAAGCACAGATAATATTAAAATTATTTTTAGGGGCTGGGGATTTAGCTCAGCGGCAAAAGCGCCTGCCTGGCAAGCGCAAGGTCGTGAGTTCAGTTCCTGGTACCGGAGGAAAAAAAAAACAAAAAACAAAAAAAAATTATTTTTAAAACAATGCTATAAACTTATAAAACTTATATAAACTTTTACCCTACTTCTACCTATTAAACTGCTTTAACAATTATGTTCTAATTGCACTGAAAATATCATGAAACATGAAATAAAAGTAGCTAGTATGTTGTGTTCTTTTTATTATTGTCAACAAATCAGGAAAGTATGCAAATATTCCAGAAGCACAGAATCTAACAAGTTAAACAAGTTTTTCTTTCTTTTATTTTTCCTGGCATGTTTAATATATACCAAGCAATTCATTTTTACTATACTTTTTCTCTTACATTGGATTTACAGGTTTACAACTGTAAACATCTTCTAGACCTGTGAGAATGCAGCTGAGTGCAGACCACTGGCACAGAAATTGAAATGAAACATTCATATTGTTTAGGTTGCTAAATTTCTAGTACTACAGTGTCTTGTAAGAATTCCTATTTTCTCCAGATGAATGAGGAAACAATTGTTTAAAAAAGGTCTGTAATGAAAACAAGATAAGATTTTGATAAGAAATGGGAGCAGTGTGAAATAAGTGATGCTAGGTCTTCTCCATGTTACATTTCTATGCATGTGTTATAAAAGTATTTTAGAAGTTTCAGGAAAACACTGAAGGTGTAGGTAAATCAAAGAGGAACATAGGAGCATTTACTTACAAAATTATTTCTATATTCTCTCTTCCATTAGTACTCAGTTGGATTGTTAATACTGTAACAGCAAGCCAGCCATGATATTGTACACCTGTAATCCCAGCACTCAAGAGCCTCAGGCAAAAGGACCACTGTGAGTTCAAGGCCAGCCTGGGCTACAAAGTGATTTTAAGGCCAGCCTGAACTGCATAGTGAGACCCTGTCTCAAAACGATGAAAAGAAAACACCGTAATGGCAAAATCTTTACATGTACAAATCTTGCGGCATTAGAGCCTAGGGGAGGATAGGAAACCAGCATTTCTAAAGAAAATTGCAAGGCTTTCTTAGCACAGAATCCAGTCTGCTTTGATTAGTTCACCATCACGTAAGTAATTTCTTCCAACCTTATTGATCAGTGTGTTGAATGTGTGAAGGGACTTTGAATTGTGTGAGAGAAAATGTGTTAAAAGAAACTCCTGAAATGCATGGCAGTCAACAGTACCCATGATCAGCACTCTGCTATAACATCTCTCCCTTACAGCAAATTTCATAGTGATGTAATATCAATGAAACACATGTGAACACATTCCCTGGCACCTAAGAGGAAAGTTCCCTAGTGCAACACATACGGACTTGTTTGGCAACCCAGTAGCACATTACTTTGAACTTTTTAACATCTGGATTTCAAACACTTATAGTTTGTAAATGCTCATACCACACATTTCCTGTTCAAATTCTTGTGTCACGACTGCCTCCTTCACTGAAAGAAACAATACTGTATGGTTCCAAGAGACATACTGACAGAGTTAAGTCTGGGAGGTGGTACTGGTCATTCCTTTGTGCTACAGCACGTTCCTGAGCTCATTTGCCAATGGGGAATAGGAAAGTTGTAGCCTTTTACTTGCACCATTAATCATTCAGTCACCTACCAAATGAGTGTGTGCCTTTGAAACCCAAGAGACTGCAGCATTTCAGAGTTATCATAGTCACTGTGCCCGTAACTTCTGTGGGGTGGGCTAAGGCTCTACAATGTCCCCATTCCCAAATACTTATGAAGGTAGAATGGCAAACTTAAGATTCTCAGTTCTCATTTCAAGTCACTGTTTGAAAACCAGGGAACTTCATGACAATGGTAAAAGTTCTTACTTCTTGTAATTGCATGGGTGATAGCACTGAATACCAAAAAGCAAGACATAATTACATGGCTGCTGTATTATGACAGCTGATTTCACACTTATTGTTTTTCATGTAAATATTAGTAAAGAACAAGATGCTGAAACTTGTAATGAGTATAACATTCCAAGTAGGTGCAGTTGAAACTGACAATCTGGAAATAAAAAATAGGGTTTCAATGTTTGTTTAACAGAATTGCCTCTTCTCTCTTGTTTAAAGAGAATAGCTTTCCTCTACTGGAAAACTGATAAATACCTGGGTTATATGCCCTCAAAGGAAATGCCCATTCTCTTTAAATTCTATCATTAAACATTATTTGTTGCTTAGGAGCATAACCAAGCCCTGTAATTATGGCCATAAATCACTGCATCGGGGACATATATACACTATGACCAGTAGAAAACAAGTACATGCCAAAAAAATTGAAATATGCATTTGCAGAAACCTAAGAAATAAGAGAATTCTCAGGTTATAGCAAGGAGGACAAACTATAACACTACCTTTCATTAATATCAGTGTATTTTCTTATAAAACCTAGTTTTAGGGCCAGGAATATAGCCCAGTGTCACAAGCGCCTGCCTGGCAAGCCCACGTTCCAGTCCTACTACCAAAAAAAAAAAAAAAAAAAAAAACTACTTTTAGCAAAGAATGCTGCTATGGCGGTTTTGTCAACTTGACTGAATTGACAAACATCTAGGAAATTAGCAGTTTACGTTAATATCGTTATTTAAAAGTCATATTCCTAAAGCCACACATGCCTGTAATCCCAGGACTATGAGAGGTTGAGGTATGAGAATCTCAAATTCGAGCCCAGTTTGAGCGACTTAGCGAGGACCTTTTTCAAAATAAAGCGGAGAAGGGCTGTAGCTCAGCCCGAAAACCCTGTGTTCAATCTCCGGTACGGGAAAAAAAAATCTTATTCCCAGAGGAGGGAGATTAAAAAAAAAAACTGTTAACCATTTCTCCTGGCCAGCATATCCTGTTTTGAAAACCAATATTACTGTAAAAGAATCCATCCCATGCTCTGGATCCGCCAAGCTCTGCAGAGACAGGAGTCATCTAGGCGTTCTCCCTGGCTGAGCGGCCAGCAGGAAATACGTCATCAACCAGCGCAGGCGGCTCAGCGGAAGCTCGGGAAGGGGAAGTCACTGGCCGGAAATTGGCGGTAGTCGGGGAAGATTGTTGATCCGTCTGCAGGGCTGCGTGCTGCCGGCTTCACTTCTGCCCCAGGTTTTGGTTTCTGTGGCCGCGGAAAATAAAAGGTAGCTTGGGAACTACTCTCTTAACAACGTATTCTATAATATACATTTTAAAAGGCCAAACCTTGTCTGTTCATCTTTTGTCCTCTCTGTATCTGGATTTATAAATGTGCCCTAGGGCCGGGGATATAGCTCAGTGGCGCAAGCGCCTGCCTGGCAAGCGCGAAGTCCGGAGTTCGATTCCCGGTACAAAAAAAAATACTATTTTGTCTTGTTTTTATCTTTTTTTTTTTTTTTTTCTTTGAAA